TCTGGATTAAAGTCTGAAACTGAATAATTCTTGAAGAAGACCAGAGTATAAAAAATATAAATCAAATGTGGAAAATAATTCTGTGAAAATAATAAACAATAACCATCTAATCTCAATAATAAATAATAAAAATCGTCACGAAGAAGGAGAAAGGACAATGTGGATTGTGAAACACTGAAGAACATCGGCCAGCTTAAGAAAATGGATAATTCTGACCAACAATACAGAAAAATTAATAAATAATGAAAAACCAGAAAGAAAAAACTACTAATTGATATATAATATAAATCAACCAAGGAAATTGAAAACTATCAAAATAAAAGACCTAAATAAATAAAAAAATGTGGAAATTGAAAACAAGAATAATACCAGAAGTAATAGAAGAAGAAAAAATGGAACAAAAAACACAGAAAGAAGAAACCCCAGAAGAAGAATGAGAAAATTGTCTTATTAAGAAGAAGACAAAGGAGAACTTTGTCTAAGAAGAAGATCGGATAAAAAAAAAAAAAAAAAAAAAAAAAAATTAACATGAAATGTAGCCAAGAACAAGACCTGCCTTAGGTCTTTCCGAGACTTGGTGGGTAATGTGTCCATAATAATAATAATAATAATAATAATAATAATAATAATAATAATAATGAGAAGAATAAAATATAAATCAAAAAAATAATAATAATAATAAGAATAATAATCAAAGAAGAAGAAAGAGATATGGATTGAGAAAACGAAGGTAGCTAAGAAAATGGATAATGACAACAATATTAATAATAATGAAGAGGTATATATAATATAAATCAAAGGAAATAATAATAATAATAATAATAATAATGAGAAGAAGACGAATAATAATAATAATGAAGAAGAAGAAGAAGAAGAATGAGATGTAGAAGAAGAAGACAAAGGTAGCCAAGAAGAAGAATGAGATATAGAAGGAGAAGACGAAGGTAGCCAAGAAGAAGTCGGCGAAGAAGGACGATAATAATAATAATAATAATAATAATAAATAATAACCAAAAAAGAGGAAGAAATAAGAAGAAGGAGAAAGATGTGGAAAACGAAGAAGCTAAGAAAACGGATAATGAAACAATAATAATAATAATGAAGGAGAATTGAAAATATAAATCGAAGAAAAGAATAGATAAGAAAATAATAATAATAATAATAATAATAATAATAATGAAGGAGAATTGTATAAGAATATAAAAATGATAAAAGAAAAAGAATAATAATAATAATAATAATAATAATAAAAAGAAGAAGAAGAAGAAGGGACAAGGTATTGCGTATACAACAAAAATCAAAGTAAATAATAATAATAAACTGAACAAGAAGAAAGCAACTAAAAAGAAAATAAATGACAACGAAAAGACGACATTAACAAAGTCGACAAAAACGGACAATGGCAACAACAACAACAATAAAAACAGTAATAATAATAATAATAATAATAATAATAATAATTATTTTAATAAAACTATGTAGAACGAATAGACGAAAATAGCCATGAGAACAGCGAAAAAGAGTAATAATAAGAATAAGAATAAGAATAATAATAAGAATACTCCTATCAATGAACAAAGCCAAGAAATACGAAACACCTTAGATGTAATAGATGCTCAAGAGGACAATTATCCTGAATCTCCCAACGTTGCCGCGAAGAATATTAAGTTAATGACGAATGCTTCTTATATTAGAGCTCTTGAACAAAAATAGAGATCTAACCCTTGTATAGAAAAAAAATCATAGCATTTAGATAGACCAAACATCGATCCCTGCCAAATCTATTAATATCTTAGAAGCAGTGGTCATTAGCAGCAGATAGAAGGCCTTATTATGGCAGCACCAGACCAATATCTTCGAACTTATGCCTGCAACATAAAATTAAAAAAAGATGGCTCAAATACCACCTGTAGTTTATGCTATACATTTGATGAAACTGTTGACCACATAGTATCTGTGTGCCTAGGCGTTGCTGGGAAAGAATACTTTATTTGATATGAAACACTAGGACAATATATTCATAAGCATGTCTGCTAGAACTGAGGTATACAAATCCTGCATACAGGATACAGACATCATCTGAAGGATTTCACAAATGGCGATGGAGTGACTTTTCTGTGGAATTTACCAATTCTCACAGATAGGAAGATTGGTGCAAATAGAACAGACATAATCATAAAAGACTTCAAAAAAGGAATCTGCCAACTAATTGATATGTCTTGCCTAGAAGATTCCAATGTTTCTAAAAAAGAGAATTTCAAAAGCTTATTTTAGATTATAAGGATCTGCAAATTAGCTTACCAAAAACGTGGAATCGTTGCGATTGGGGCATTGTTTATAATAAAAAATACGTCCCTCAGGTCATGTGAGTATAATTCCTGGACACATCAGCATCTCGGAGCTATAAAAGATTAATTGGTGCCAATCGGCACATATTTGCAAAATACTCTCCATCTAAATGAACCTCCCAAAAGTGCATGCATAACTTATAATAATAATAATAATAATAATAATAATGAGAAGGAAAAGGAGATATAGTAGAAGATGAAGGTAGCCCAGATGAAGAGGGCGAAGAAGGACAATAATAATAATAATAATAATAATAATAAGAAGAAGAAGAAGAAGAAGAAGAAAAGGAGTTGCAGAATGCGATGATGGTAGCCAAGAAGACGGTGAATAATAATAATAATAATAATAATGAGAAGAAAAAGATGTAGAAGTAGAAGACGAAGTTGGCCAAGAAGAAGACAGCAAAGAAGGACAACAACAACAATAATAATAATAATAATAATAATAATAATAAGAAGAAGAAGAAGAAGAAGAAGAAGAAAGAGATGTAGAGAGAGGGAAAACGAAGGCAGTCCAGGAGAAGAGAGCCAAGAATGATGATAATAATAATAATAATAATAATAATAATAATAATAATAATAATAATGAGAAAAAGGAAACGTAGAAGGAGAAGACGAAGGCAGCCAAGAAGATGGCCAGTAATAATAATAGTAATAATAATAATAATAATAATAATAATAATAAGAAGAAGAAGAAGAAGAAGAAGAAGAAGAAGAAGAAGAAGAAGTAAGAGATGTAGAGAGAGAAGACGAAGGCAGCCCAGGAGAAGAGAGCGAAGAATGATGATAATAATAATAATAATAATAATAATAATAATAATAATAGAAATCTCAAAATTCTTGCACATAAAAATCAATCATGTCATCAATAATACTAGTTGCGACTGGAAAAGATTGCCTTAAAGAAATACAAAACACTCTTCGCACAAGTACAGCTAACACCTTATAAATGGACATGTCTACTTAAAACTTGTGTGATCTTACTTTTCATTATATCTAACTATATATATATATATATATATATATATATATATATATATATATATATATTTTTTCAAAAAATGGTAAGTGAATATGCTTGTGCCATTTCTGATCTTAGATCTCTGGTTGGAACCCGGAAGGAAATGAATATACAACAGAAACCAATGTAAGTAAGTAAGCAAGCAAGTAAGTAAGTAAATAAGTAAGTAAGTAATAATAATAATAATAATACCTTATACAGCTTATAATTTTTTAAAAAACATGTATCATAACATTCATCGTGTGATTTGTAGGCTAATGCACCTTTTAAAATTCTGTTAGCGAAGGAATTCGCCATTTTATATCATTGACTTTACTAATCTACTTTTTTATTGAATAATTCATTGTAATATAAATTGAACTGCACCACATATTTGATATATACATACACATTATATATATATATATATATATATATATATATATATATATATATATATATATATATATATAATTAATGTTGAGAAATTGGACTTAACTGAGTGGTGTTAATTCAATGCCACCTTCGAAGTTTCATGAGCGCATTTTAGTAATGCCTTCACTCCTCAGGTCTCCTCTCTCTCTCTCTCTCTCTCTCTCTATATATATATATATATATATATATATATATATATATATATATATATATATATATATATGATAATTAGATGGGATAATTCCAAGGTGGACATTAATCCAATGAGACTTCAAAGTAAGTAACAGAATAAAATAATATTGAGGACAGTTGATCCTTAAAAATCTATTTGGTTATAATTTATTTCATGAATATACAAATATTCATCTCTTCAGACTGAAGTTTTTTTGTTTTTTAATAAATGGAGTCAATTTATCCAGACGAAAGGAAAAGGGAAAGGATAAAAGAAAAAAAGAAAAGAAAAAGGTTTAATATTAAAAGAAAAAGAAAAAAAAAGGTATAAAGTTTTAAAAAATTCGAGGGGAAGAGAGAAAGAAAGTCAGGGGAAGAGATGGGTAAGGGAAAGGGAAGGATAAAATGAGAGAGGAAGAGAAAGAATAGAAAGGAAAGGAAGAAGAATTAAACATGAGCCGATAGGGTGACCTAGAAATGAATTTGTAGATAAACTACGACGAAATAGTGAGTTACAAGTAAATAATGCATTCGGTTCTTTATACTTGTGCCACATCTAAGCTACGCTTAGAAAATAATTTCGAGCACGTGGACAGGGTGTAATGGTTAGCAAGCTTGTCTCGCTAGATCAATTACGATCAATTACTGAGTTCGATTTTCACTTGATGACTCATACTTTCGGCCTTGTGCCACACCTAAAATACGTTTAAAAATACACCATATTGTCACTGTATCATTCCAGGGAAATAGCAGGGCTGACTGCATTCTGTAGACTTGGTTGGCAAATGGTGGAGGAGAAGGACGGCTCTGATTTCAAAAACTGGGGTCTTAGTGTAAGGACCGAGGGGGAAATTCTTGGTATTTGGCTGTCGGTAATAAGCTTAGAGAAGAGGTGGGCGCCGCCAAGCTATCTCCAGAAGAATTAAAGTCTGCTCTTCCCGATTATGGCAGCAGTCTGATGTTGATGACGTAGTTTGCTTTCATTGGATAGAATGAAGTTTTCAATTCGAAAGTCTGACTTTAGCCTACGAAAAAGACACCGGAAGATGGCTGAAGAGTACAAAGGCTGAAATATAGTAGCTATCAAAAGTAAAATCTGGACATTGTTTTGAGTAAATTGGTAGATACTACACGAGATTTAAGTTATCAAAAACTTAAAAAAAAACTCTAGGTCTTTTCTAAGCTTTGAAGGAAATATTTGTAAAGAAAAAATAATTTCTTTTTCATTCTTATCTCTCTCTGTCCCCTCTCTCTTTCTCTCAAACTCTCTCTTTCTGTCTCCCCCTCTCTCTTCACTTCCATTTTGCAATCGCTCTATCTTTTTTCTCTATGTTTCAATATTTCTTCTCTCTTCTTTCTCTCCTCTTTTTCTTCTCTCTTTATTTTCTCTCTTTTTTCTCTTTTTTTTTTCATTTTCCTTCTTTTCTCCTTCTCCTTCGCTTCTCTTTTTTCATCCCATCCCCACCGGACCAATTCTTTTGATATATTTGCTTTCTTCTTTTCTCTATCGTTCAATTTTCTCCTTTCTCTGTCTTCTCCTTTTCTCCCTCCCTCTTTTAACTTTCTCCGTCTCTGTTTATTCGTTTTTTGTTTTTGTTTTTCTCTTTCATTCAAATTTCGTCTTTCTTATTTCCCCTTATTCTTTTCACTTTTCACATCTCTTTTTACATGCAATTTATTTTTCTTTCAATTTCTTTCTTTTCTATTTCTCATCATTTTCTCTCTCTCTCTCACTCTCTCTATTTTCATTCCTATTTTCTTTATTTCTTTCAATTTCCTTCTTTTCACTTTCTCATCATTTTCTCTCTTTCTCTTTTCATTCCCTTTTCCTTTTTATCTTTCTTTCAATTCCCTTCTTTCCTCTTTTTCATCATATTTTCTCTCTCATTTTTTTCATTCTCTCTTCACATTTATCTTTCTTTCAATTTCCTTCTTTTCTCTTTCTCAGCATATTCTCTTTCTAATTATTTTCATTCCCTCTTCCTTTTTATCGTTCTTTCAATTCATTTTTTCTCTTTCTCGTCATTTTCTCTTTTTCTCTTTTCATTCCCTTTTCATTTTTATCTTTCTTTCAATTTCCTTCTTTTCTCTTCCTCATAATTTTCTTTCTTTCTCCCTCTATTCATTCCCTCTTTTTTTTTATCTTTCTCTCAATTTCCTTTCCATCCTCACTTCCCTCTTTTTTTTCCTTCATTTATTAATTTTTTTTCTTTTTTATTTCTCGTATATTACGTTGTTCGCAAAATAAAGTCCGATTTCAGAATAAATGATTTGAATAAAACTATATTATTTTTTCCTAATAATTAAAGTGTCCCCTTTGTTAATTTTATATCAGTCGCTTTTAGAATTTAACTTAAAACATTATATACCCTCTCATCTTAAACATGGAGAAAGAGCAGATGCGTTTACTAAAGCTATTAGCACAAAACTAAATATTCTAAACTATCTACTATAAACATTTTAAAACATTTGTGCAATATTCTTAATTAATTTTTTTAAAGGTTGGTTTCGAGTTTTAATACAGGTAGCTTCAAGCATTTTTAGTTTATGTGTATTGTTTTCATGAAAAGGTATAGATGTATTTTCAACAAGAATTATTCTGAATTGCGAATGTGAACAATTATTCTGTTGTAAATGTTGTACATATCATTCAAATGAAAACACAACCACCAAGACAATGTAGTCGTAGTGTGGCCAACATAAAGATTATTTTGTCCGTTGAAGATACAATCTAACAGATGACGTTTAAATTCATAAACAATGTTGGTTATCTGCAACTGGTTAGTTGGTGGGAAAGTGTCGTTATAAATATATTTCGTTGCGATAAAATCGATTAATTTGTTTGCGCTTAGTTGAGGGATATTATATTCTATTTGTTTGGTATTAAAATCTCTGATAGAGAGTCTTATTTGACCATCAACAATATAATTAGAAAAGTTATTAATAAGAGTTTATGTTATTCAGTTCCCTGGAGAAAATCAGTTTTATGGGAAAATAACTTTTCGCGGTTTATTAGAAGTTTATAATTGCTATTTTTACAATAATTTGGACATTCAATAATTAAGTGTGCACGAATTTATGCTGGTAGTTTTATTTTTATATATCAGGAGATAATGAATTTATTATTAATAATAACTTTATTAATAAAAAAGCAATTTTATTACTATTATTATGGCGGTGTCGGGAGTTTTTTTTTTTTTTTTTTAAGAAATAACTATTAAAGCTATTAGCACAAACCTAGATATTTTAAACAATCTACTATAAACATTTTAAAACACTTGTGCAGTATTCTTAATTAATTTTTTAAAAGGTTGGTTTCGATTTTTGATATAGATAGCTTCAAGAATTTTTAGTTTATGTGTATTATTTTCATGAAAAGATATAGACGTATTTTCGACAAGAATTTTTCTGAATTGCGAATGTGAAACTATTATGCTGTTATTAATGTTGCACACATTATTCAAATGAAAACACAACCGTCGAGATAATGTGGTCGTAGTTTGGCCAACGTTGAAGATACAATCTTCCAGATGACATTTAAATTCATAAACAATTTCAATTTGCTTTATATTAGCAATACTGATAGAGCATCGTATTTGTTCATCAATTAATAATAAGAGTTTTTTTTTTTTAGTTCTCTGTAGAAAATCAGTTTTGTGGAAAAATGCAGGTAGTTTTATATATATATATATATATATATATATATATATATATAGTGAATTTATTATCATTAGTGTTTATTAATATATCTAAAAAGGAATTTTATTACGATTATTAAGTTAGTATGTAAATTTAATAACAGAATTATTTTGGAATTCTTTTTTAAGTTGACGTATTTCGTCCATATTCTTGACTAAAATAAGGACAACATCGACGTATCTTAGGTAGATTGAGGGTAAGATATTCGTTTTCTACGTGTTGCTGCCCTTTTTGAAACTCTCCAATAGTACGATAAAATACGATGACATTACTTAATCAAATTTTCCCATCGCCGATGCCATATTCTGGTTTTCTTTGTCTTTTAATGAATTTTGAATGTTTCAGATGTATAAACAATATTTAAAGGTTATTTTGTAAATGTTTACAATTAGATGTATTTCCAGTTTTTTTTTTTTTTTTCAATTTCTCCCCTAAACTATTTTTTCGAGATTCCAATATTTCAGGATTTAAAACGCGGAATTCTGATCTCTCGGTATTTTAGAAGTTCGGGATTTCAAATTTCGTGGTTTTAAATTTCAGGATTTCGACATTCGGGATTTTAAGATTCAGGATTAAGATCGGCACCTGTAATATATATATATATATATATATATATATATATATATATATATATATATATATTGTGTCATTATTTATCACGTCAAACTTCAACTTTCAGATTCCGTACAATACCATGCTTCCAAAATGGACCTGCCTTAATGAACAGGATCTGGGACCTATTGTAGTTCTTCCAAGTCCTTTTCCGTCTGGCCATCGATGATTGTTTTTGTGGTGACCCACGAGTGGATTCCTGCGTTGCAGGTGCTATTTTTTGACTTTGTTACTTCCGAGTAATTCAAGCTTGACACGTTTTCCAGTGTTTCGCCGCCTATGGTGACTCTGGCACTGGTATTGCTTGTCCTATTGACCATTAATTTGGATTTCCCTGTTTTGACTTTCATCCCATATACACAGGCTCTTTCAACGTTGGACTATTATTGACAAATAATACTTACATTTAACTTACATATTTTTTTTTATCCTTTCTAGCACAACAATAATTTTCCGAACACCATAATTTATTAGTTGGAACGAAACTTCGTACCGTGTTTCAATAGATGACGATTTTGTTTCACATATTCTTCTTCTATCTGCCGTGTCCATCCAAAATGTTCTTGTCTTTTATAGTTTTTACCTCAACACTCCAAGTTGTTTGGTTCACTACGGCTGTAGACTGATATTGAACTCACAACGCTTTGAGTCTAGTCACTGGACCTAACCAACGCCTTTATCTACTGGGCCACTTGGAGAGTTGAATTAAAGGGAAATAACTGAGACAACCGGGAGAGGCGCGGCAGATGGAACTAGAATAATTTTCCCTGGTGACGAAATAAAGGGTTCGGTTCGAAATTCCAATCACCTGAAGAAGGCTGGAACGTACAACGGCCGAATCGTGGTGGATAAGCCAATGAACATGAGAATAGCAGCCCGAATAATGTAAATAATCGTAATACTCACAACTCTTTAGGTCTACTCACAATATAATTAGGGAAGTTATTATTCATAAGAGATTGATTTATATTTTTATTTCACTGCAAAAACCTTGTCTAAATTATTCACTGAAACATGTCTCAATGAAAACCTGCTGAATATATATATATATATATCTGTGTGTGTGTATGTATGTAGGTGTGTGTGTGTGTTTGTGTGTGTGTGTGTGTGTGTGTGTGTGTGTGTGAAGAAATTTGGGGGGATTTAGAGTAACCATATTTAGTAAATAATCGAGCCCAAAAGAATATTCAACAGAATGCTGAAAGTACTGAACGGCCGTTTCGTCTTATTTCGGACTCATCAGCGGTGTGCATCCACTACGGAGAATCGAACCCGGACCGTTACGATACAATGCAAACGTCATACCAACTGTACCTCGGTGACGAAGAAGACGCAAACTAGACTCAATACAGCGTCGCTACTCACTCAGTTCCGCAGCGATACTCATCCAAGTATTCAGATAACATCGGAAAAGTGCCCCAAGAGCCACGTCTTCTTTTTGACCTTTAGCCGTACCTCACGGTCATTACTTGGATCAAGCAAGGATATACAAGTGAAGACACTTTTGGAGATTTAGAGTAATCATATATAGTAATTCACCGAGCATAGAACAATCTTCAACAGAATGCAGAAAGCACCGGACGGCCGTTTCGTCCTATTTGCACGCATCAGCAGTGCGCATCCGCTACCAAGAATCGAACCCGGATCATTTCACTACAGCGCAAACGCCATAATATTTGTACCACATATATGATGAAACTGACAATTAAATATTTATTGTTTATACGTTATTTTTCTAGATATATATATTTAAGTAAATTCTCTGTTTGTAATAAACAGTATTAACAACATTTAACGGCCTGAATGACCGAGAAATCTCAAAAAAAATATGCGTACTCTGAGAGGAATCGAACCTGTATCCTAAACGGAACCACCATATAGCCTGACGTGCTACATCATTTAGCTACAGAGGAAGCGCCTGCTTACCTAGTTTAAATTGTAGTTCAAGAACAAACTCTTCTCGACTATAATCACATCATAGGAGCAGGATGCTTGGCTGTCAGTTCCTAGGACAGACTGACAGGGAGAGGTATTGCGAGGAGTTCTCGCTTCATTCCCCCGCCTAGTCGTGCTTAGGATCCCTGGTAGACGCGGGTTAACGTCTCGCGACGATCCACGACGGGAGAGTCCACGATACATACATACATACATATATATATATATATATATATATATATAAGATGACGATTGATGTTGCATTTAAATTTTTAATGATCATAGTTATCAAGAAAGCAAGTAAGTGGAAGGAAGTTCCACTGTTGGCAAGTGAGAGAAGAAGCCGTTGGAGTAAAAATGGCGGCTATATTTAACCGTAAAAGACTGGGACCTAAATGTCAAGCTATTAGCACGCTTAAATTCACGAAGTCAGGGCACAAAAGAAAATAGCTCGCCAGAGCTGTTACCATAGAAAAATATTCGTAGAAAAGAGGGAAGCCTGGTCATGTCTGTGAGAGAGTGACTGTAGATGAGTTCCTTGATCAGCATATATCATATTGCATATCCGTCTCTGGATTTTGTCAAGGACCTCGACATAAACAGCATGCGCACCAGACCATATACGGCAGCAGTATTCTGTGTGAGGATGAATGGTTGATTTGTAGATTTTAAGGATGGACTGAGGCGAGGAAAAATTTAATTAAAAAATAGACATAATTACAAAAATACAGGATTATTGAGAGTAAGTAAAAAAAGAATTTATACATACACAAAATAAAATAAATTCATTTTTGACATTGCAATACTGATATAATATTCTTAATATCTGATATTATGTTTACGTTTATGTTACTATATCTAGTGTTATTATATATCTTATTACATTAGCTTATTATGTTATTATATCTTTTTATGTTATTATATATCTTATATTTATATTACTATGTTACTATATCTTATGTTATTATATATCTTATTATGTTATCATATATTACTATAACTTATGTTATTATATAACTTATTACGTTATCTTATCATGTTACTATATCTTATGTCATATATCTTATTAGGTTATCTTATAATGCTACTTTATTTTATTATGTTATTATATATCTTATTATGTTATCTTATTATGTTACTATATCTTATTATGTTATTATATATCATATTATGTTATCTTATATTACTATAACTTATGTTATTATATATCTTATGTTATCTTATTACGTTTCTATATCTTATTATGAAACTTCATCTGCCTCGTACTGATGTTTGCTACTTGTTTGCATCTTCTCTAAAACCTCATCGTTACTCACCCGCTCGGTCAATGATATCCTTAGCATCCTTCCGTAGAACCATAACTCCGTCGCCTCGAGTGTCTTCTTCATCTTTGAGGAGACCGTCGCTGCCGTAAAGGAGGACAGATGCCACGCAGGAGCTCAGTACTCTTTTCTTTGTTACCAAAGAAATCCTCCTGTCTTTCAGTAGTCTGCGAGACTGCGTCCTTGGCCATTCCAATCCGTCTTCGGTTCTCAGCTTCGCAGTTACCGTTCTCCGTCAAAACACTTCCTAGATGTTTAAACTTTCGCACCTGCTTGATTTTAGTGTCCCGGACCTGCAAATCGCATTTCGGGATCATCCTTTTACTGATGACCATACATTCTGTCTTATTTAGGTTTTAAAGTTTTCCTTTCCGTGTTTGCTATCATCACCGTGCCATCTGCGTATCTTATATTGTTAAGATCGTGGCCAGCAATCGACAGAAAATAATTATCGTTTTAATTGCATTTCCTTAAAGAACAAAAACTACTTAAATATACAAGTGTCGCACTTGCCGTCCTCTGTCAATAAACTTCCCAGATATTTAAACTTCCGCACCTGCTTAAATTTGGCGTCGCTGACCTGCAAATCGCATTTCGGGCTCATCATTTTACTGATAAACATGCATTCTGTCTTCTTGTAGTTTATGCTTAGTCCTTTCTTCTCGTTCCCCGTCTTCTGTAGGTTTTTTTTTTTTTTTTTTTTTTGTAATTTCTTTTCCATGTTTGCTATCAGTACTGTGTCACCTTTTGTTGTTAAGATGGTGGCAGCCAATGCTGAATCCTGGTAGGATTTCCAATTCTCTCAGAATTGCCTAACTGTATAAGTTGAATAGGTCCGGTGAGAAGACGCATCCTTGCCTTACGCCCTTTTCTATTTTTGTATCTCTGGCTCTTGCCCAACGCACCAGCCGGTGTGTCTCGGCAAAGGCCATTGATCCCTTCCTCTTTTAGTGCAAGGGGGGGGAGTGAATCTACTGGCACTATCTGAGAATAATTTTCTCGACATACGTTAGTAAAGTAAATGAAAATATACCTAAAGATTTAAAGGCACAATGAGCCGCATGAAAATATTAAGTGAGGCGCAGTGCGACCCGCGGGTTGGGACGTCACTGGAGATGAAGAGATCGAGTCAAAGCTTTTCTAAGAGTATTTTTGCATGAATGAATGAATGGAACAAACTTGACTGAAATTCGAAATCTGCTTTCAATTTTTTCTTTCCGTTCAGCGCTCAATCTAGTAGTAGTCTATACAAGTCGATTATTTTTCCTATCTCTATTCTTTTCTCTTTCTATCTCAGTCTGATTTTATATATATATATATATATATATATATATATATATATATATATATTGTTAGCTTTTCATATCTATCTATTTTTTTGTTACCTTCTCATATCTATCTATCTATCTATCTATCTATCTATCTATCTATCTATCTATCTATTGTTAGATTTTCATATCTATCTATTTATTGTTAGCTTTTCATATCTATCTATCTATCTATCTATCTATTAGCTTTTTATATCTATCTATTTATTGTTAGCTTCTCATATCTATGTATCTATCTATCTATCTATCTGTTAGCTTTTCATATATATCTATTTATTGTTAGCTTTTCATATCTATCTATCTATCTATCTATCTATCTATCTATCTGTCTGTCTGTTAGCTTTTCATATCTATCTATTTATTGTTAGCTTCTCATATCTATCTATCTATCTATCTATCTATCTATTGTTGGCTTTTCATATCCATCTACTTATTGTTAGCTTTTCATATCTATCTATCTATCTATCTATCTATCTATCTATCTATCTATCTGTTAGCTTTTCATATCTAACTATCTATTTATTGTTACCTTTTCATATCTATCGATCTATCTATCAATATATCTATTGTTAGCGTTTCATATCTATCTATCTATCTGTTAGCTTTTCTTATCTATCTATTGTGTCGCTTTTCATATCTATCTATCTATTTATCTATCTATGGTTGGCTTTTCATATCTATCTCTGTCGATATATCTCTATTGTTAGCTTTTCATATCTATCTATATATGCCATTATCTATCTATCTATCTATCTATCTATCTATCTATCTATCTATCTATCGCACTCTGTTCATTATCTATCTCACTTTTTCATATCTGTTTATCTATCTCACTTTTTCATATCTATCTATCTATCTATCTATCTATCTATCTATCTATCTATCTATCTATCTATCTCATTATCTTTTTTCTATCTACCTATCTGTCTATTGTTAGCTTTTTAAATCTATCTATCTATCTATCTATTGTTAGCTTTTCATATTTATCTATTTATCTATGTATTGTTAGCTTCTCATATCTATCTATCTATCTATTTCATTAAAATTATTTTAAATAAGAGAGACAGTCAAGCATGTAGGAAAATATTGCTTAACAATAAGCCAAATATTGTAAATTATAAAAACGAGACTATTTATGTGCAAATGTTATAGACACCCGACGTAGATATATGTATTCTCTCTCTCTCTTCAGTATGTTTATACCTCTCTCTCTCTCTATCTCTATCTCTCTATTTATCTATCTATGTTAATTCTCTTTCTTTTTTCTCTCTCTATAGCTCTCTCATTATAGTCTTCATATCCTCTCTTTCTCTGTAACTATTTCAATCCCCATAATTTACCTCTCTCTCTATCTATCTATCTATCTATCTATCTATCTATCTAATTGTGTGTGTGTTACTATCCTCTCTACATTTCTCTCCCTCCTTTTTCCATAGCTATTTCAGTATGTTCATATCTCTCTATCACACTTTTTATATCTATCTATCTATTTATCTATCTATCTATCTATCTATTTATCTATCTATCTATCTATGCCATTCAGTTAATATCTATCTATCTATCTATCTATCTAGCTAGCTAGCTATATGCCATTCAGTTAATATCTATCTATCTATATATCTATCTATGCCATTCAGTTAATATCTATCTATCTATCTATCTATCTATCTATCTATCTATCTATCTATCTATTTATGCCATTCAGTTAATATCTATCTATCTATCTATCTATTTATCTATCTATCTATCTTTTTCCATTCTCTGTATTTTTTCCTCTCTCTATAGCGCTCTCAGTATGTTCATCTTCTCTCTCTCTCTCTCTCTCTCTCTCTCTCTCTAATTATTTCAATCTTCATAATTAACATCTCCGCCTGTCTATCCTCTTTACTTTCCTCTCCATTTCTCTATGTCTATCCCCGTATGTACATTTCTCTCTTTTTATCTGTCTATTTCACCCTCTCTCTCACTCTCTCTCTCTCTCTTTCCATCTATCTATCTATCTATCTATCTATCTATCTATCTATCCCCGTTTGTCCATCCTCTCTACTTTTCTCTCCCTATCTTTATAAAAATATCAGTATGTTCATCTCTCTCTCTCTCTCTTTCCTCTCCCTCCTCACCCCTATCTATCTATCTATCTATCTATCTATCTATCTATCTATCTATCTATCTCCCTTTGTCCATCCTCTCTACTTTTCTCTCCCTATCTTTATAACAATATCAGTATGTTCATCTCTCTCTCTCTCTCTCTCTCTTTCCTCTCCCTCCTCGCCCTATTCTATCTATCTATCTATCTATCTATCTATCTATCTATCCCCGTTTGTCCATCCTCTCTCTTTTCTCTCTCCCCATCTTTATAACAATATCAGTATGTTCATCTCTCTCTCTCTCTCTCTCTCTTTCCTCTCCCTCCTCACCCCTATCTATCTATCTATCTATCTATCCCCGTTTGTCCATCCTCTCTACTTTTCTCTCCCCATCTTTATAACAATATCAGTATGTTCATCTCTCTCTCTCTCTCTCTCTTCCTCTCCTCCTCACCCCTCCTCTATCCCTATCTATCTATCTATCTATCTATCTATCTATCTATCTATCTATCTATCTATCTCCCTTTGTCCATCCTCTCTACTTTTCTCTCCCTATCTTTATAACAATATCAGTATGTTCATCTCTCTCTCTCTCTCTCTTTCCTCTCCCTCCTCGCCCCTATCTATCTATCTATCTATCTATCTATCCCCGTTTGTCCATCCTCTCTACTTTTCTCTCCCTATCTTTATAACAATATCAGTATGTTCATCTCTCTCTCTCTCTCTCTCTTTCCTCCTCCTCATCTATCTATCTATCTATCTATCCCCCGTCCATCCTCTCTCTTTTCTCTCCCTATCTTTATAACAATATCAGTATGTTCATCTCTCTCTCTCTCTCTCTCTCTCTCTCTATCCTTTCCTCTCCTCATTCATCCTATCTATCTATCTATCTATATCTATCTATCTATCCTATCCCCTTTGTCCATCCTCTCTACTTTTCTCTCCCTATCTTTATAACAATATCAGTATGTTCATCTCTCTCTCTCTCTCTCTCTCTTTCCTCTCCCTCCTCACCCCTATCTATCTATCTATCTATCTATCTATCTATCTATCTATCTATCTATCTATCTATCTCAGTTTCTTTATTCTCTTCACTTTGGTCGTGCCTTCCATATCTATATATCTATCACTTCCAATTTCTTTTCATTTCAACACCGTAACTAATTGAGTCTTTTGCCGCTGGCTACACCGTTATCTGAGTGTTTGTCGCCTACTGACAGCACTTTTCCTCCAGGGGCTTCGATAGTCGTTCGTAATTGTTCTCTTCTGTCAGCCGGCAGCGCGCCAAGAAAATGCGTTTGCTTTCTCTGAAAATTTCATGGTTGCGTTTTTTTTTTTTCATTTCTTTTTTTTTTAAGAAAAGGAAAGTTCGCTTCTGTTTATAAATATTCTGAATTTTAAACGTTTCAAGAAACAGTTTGGCATGAGTCATTATCCTTGCAAGAGTTGATCGGATTTTTGATCTCGTTCACGGGTTTCTGTATTCTCTCGCATTTTGATCTCGCCATTACATTTCAGCCGATCGGCTCACCAGCCTTCTTCGGCCGCATCGGTAGGCACTGGCTGAAGCACTCTCATTGTTGGATGTGAATATGAAGATACAAGTGTCAGATGGCCACGAGTAGACCCAGTCAATATTTGAAAACGGCCAGTTAAATTTGGTAAAAAAAATAAATAAAAATAAGAAACAAGACAGAAAGACCGTAACTAATTGAATCTATCTATCTATCTATCTATGCCATTTAGTTCCTATCTATCTATCTGTCTATCTATCCCATTTAGTTCCTATCTATCTATCTATCTATCTATCTATCTATCTATCTATCTATCTATCTATCTATCTATCCCATTTAGTTCCTATCTATCTATCTATCTATCTATCTATCTATCTATCTATGCCATTTAGTTCCTATCTATCTATCTATCTATCTATGCCATTTAGTTCCTATCTATCTATCTATCTATCTATCTATCTATGCCATTCAGTTCCTATCTATCTATCTATCTATCTATCTATCTATCTATCTATTTATTCCCATCTATCCATTTATCTATCTATCTATTCATCTATCTATCTATCTATCTATCTATCTATGTCATTTAGTTCCTATCTATCTATCTATCTATCTATCTATCTATCTATCTATCTATCTATCTATCTATCTATGCCATTCAGTTCCTATATACCTATCTAGCTAGCTAGCTAACTACCTTCCACAGTGTGTTCACGAATTCACAAATTATTGGAACGAAATATAATTAACGGAAGGAAACTTAAGAAATAACAAGTAAAAGAACGAATTAAAAGAATAACAACGGAACGAATTAAACGAATAACAGTTAAAAGAAAGAATTAATGGAATGAAATAAAGCAATAATAATAATTTAAAGTATTTATTAACTAAATAAAACAAATGCATAATTAAAAGGCAGAAGAACAGACAATTGGAATGAAAAAAAAACGATTCAAATTGAGAGAGTTGGATAAAACAATGAAAACAAAAACGAATAAATACGAAAAAAATCATTATCGAACGAACTAAAGGAATAACAAGGAAAATAACGAGTTAATGGAACGAAATGAAAGTATAACAATTAAAGGAAATAACTAAAAGAATAACAATTAGAGAAACTAAAGAATAGAAATAAAAAGAACGAACTAAAGGAATAAAGATTAAATGAATGAATTAATGGAAAGTAATAAAAACATAAAAATTAAAGGAACAGACGAAAAGAAAACAATTAAATGAATTAATGGAACGAAATGAAAGCATAACAATTAAAAGTATGAAGAAATAACAAAGGAACGAATTAAAGGTAAGAAATAAAGGAATAACAATTAAAAGAACGAATTAATGGCACAGAATAAAGGAATAACAATTAAAGGAATGAATTAATGGCACAGAATAAAGGAAAAACAATTAAAGGAATGAATTAATGGCACAGAATAAAGGAATAACAATTAAAAAAATGAATTAATGGCACAGGAAATGATGATTAATGGCACAGTTTAAAGGAAATTAAAGGAATGAATTAATGGCACAGAATAAATGGCAACAATTAAAAGGAATAACAATTAAAGGAATGAATTAATGGCACAGAATAAAGGAATAACAATTAAAGGAATGAATTAATGGCACAGAATAAAGGAATAACAATTAAAGGAATGAATTAATGGCACAGTTTAAAGGAATAACAATTAATGGAACGAATTAATGGCACAGAATAAAGAAAAAGGAATGAATTAATGGCACAGAATAAAGGAATAAAATTAAAGGAATGAATTAATGGCAAGTTTAAAAGGAATAATTTAATGGAACGAATTAATGGCACAGAATAAAGGAATAACAATTAAAGGAATGAATTAATGGCATAGTTTAAAGGAATAACAATTAATGGAACGAATTAATGGCACAGAATAAAGGAATAACAATTAAAGGAATGAATTAATGGCACAGTTTAAAGGAATAACAATTAATGGAACGAATTAATGGCACAGAATAAAGGAATAACAATTAAAGGAATGAATTAATGGCACAGTTTAAAGGAATAACAATTAATGGAACGAATTAATGGCACAGAATAAAGGAATAACAATTAAAGGGATGAATTAATGGCACAGAATAAAGGAATAACAATTAAAGGAATGAATTAATGGCACATAATAAAGGAATAACAATTAATGGAATGAATTAATGGCACAGAATAAAGGAATAACAATTAAAGGAATGAATTAATGGCACAGAATAAAGGAATAACAATTAAAGGAACGAATTAATGGCACAGAATAAAGGAATAACAAATAAAGAACGAATTAATGGCACAGAATAAAGGAATAACAATAAAAGGCAGAACTGAAGGAATAATTATTAAAGGTAAGAACTAAACGGATATCAATTAATGGAATAAATTAAAGCGAGAAAATAAAAGTATAATAATTGAAGCAACGAACTAAATGAATACCAAGTAAAGGAGTGAAATAAAGGAATAACAATGAATGGAACGAATTAAATGATCAAAATAAAGGAATAACAACTAAAGAAGCAAATTAAGGGAAGGAAATAAAAGAATAAAACAAAATAAAGGAACGAATTACTGGAACGAAATACAATTAACGGAAGGAACCATAGGGAATAACAAGTAAAGGAACGAATTAAAAGAACAAAATAAAAAAATAACAAAAGAACGAACGAATTAAATGAATAACAATTTAATAGAAAGAATCAATGGAATGAAATAAAGAATATTAATCTTAAGAACGAATTAATGGTGCTAAATAAAAGAAAATCAATTAAAG